AGTAGTCTGTTGTTATTTATGTATTATTGTCATTTTGTTTATTTTCTTTGGTTACATCTTCTGACATCAGACTCGGACTTCTCTTGAACTGAATTTTAATGTGCGTATTGTTATGCGTTTACTTTTCTACATTGGCTAGAGGTATAGGGGGAGGGTTGAGATCTCATAAACATGTTTAACCCCGCCGCATTTTTGCGCCTGTCCCAAGTCAGGAGCCTCTAGCCTTTGTTAGTCTTGTATTATTTTTAATTTTAGTTTCTTGTGTACAATTTGGAGTTTAGTATGGCGTTCATTATCACTGAACTAGTATATATATTTGTTTAGGGGCCAGCTGAAGGACGCCTCCGGGTGCGGGAATTTCTCGCTGCATTGAAGACCTGTTGGTGGCCTTCTGCTGTTGTCTGTTCTGTGGTCCGGTTGTTGTCTCTTTGACACATTCCCCATTTCCATTCTCAATTTTATTTTTTACAGAGTTTGTCTTTAGTGCCGTGTGGAGACAGTAGAGTGCCTCCCCGTGCTTCAGGTTTATGCTCTTATAATATACTAGATTATGGAGTGTGTGTCCGAGCGAGAACTTCTCTAGTTCATTTCTTTAGGAATATTTATCAAAAAGTAGTATTTCAATATTCAGCCCCATTCTACTATTTAGTCAGACGTCAGTCGCTACCCTAATATACCCTTTCTTTTTCGGGTAATTAATACGGATAGCGTTTGACATCTTTAGCCGAACAGATTTATCATTTTTACATAATTTAATTCATTGTATGCTGGTTCATATTCTGGACGCCAGTCTTTGCTCCTTTCTAATATAATTCACAAACAAAAAACAAATATGAAGCTTAGAAATGGAAAAATATTAAATACTAAACTCGTTCAAAGGGTATCTACACGTCTCAATCTTCAAAATCGCTTATCTAAAAATACTACCATCGCTAACATTTTTAACAATAAAAATCGTGGTTACCCTTCTATCGATAAGTGTCATGCCAAAAAATGACTTACATGTCCCCGTCTTTCCACCAACAATACGGTAAGGTCCACGTTTAATGGTCGCACATTTTCTTTAAATTTTGAAACTGATATAACTTGAAAAACAAACAGTATAATTTATTTACTCACATGAAACAAACCGGGATGCGGTATTCAGTACGTAGGTGAAACTGGACGATATTTATCTAAACACACTCAAGAACATCTGTATCGTTTTAAAAGACCCAATAAATTCAAAAGTATCATTTATCAACACCTTAAGAAGCACAATCATCCTATTAAATATTTAGCAGTTCAACCTTTAGAAGTAGTAAATAAGCAGCCTGGTGAATCTCATTCAAAGTTTGTACGATCGCGGAAAATAATTGAATTAAATTGGATTAAAAAATTACAGACAGTCTACCCTCTCGGTCTTATGATAATATCATGGGAATTGGTAATATGTCAAGAACCGATTCTGTTAACATTTTGGATATAGTTTCTAAAACTGTTCGTAAAAACCGTTCTCATGGTTGTAGAAAAAATCGCAATCAAAGAAAATTTCGGACCAATCCTACCAATATTTCGGACCTAATTTCTATTTCAAAAAACAACGGCAGACATTATCTGTTAACAAAGCTCTGTTCATTACCGGTTAATAAGTTAAATAAAATTTTAGAGGATTGCAACACAATTTCATATAGCAGTCCTAAGTATGAAATCGTTCAAATTATAATGGCATATTGTTATTCTAAACTGTTTCCCAAAATTGATCGCCCTGAAGATCATAAAAAACAGTTTATTAAAATAAAGTATGTCAATAAAGGTTTTGATTTTGTAAATATTGCCGGTATTTTTAACGACCATTCTGTTAAAGAACAAATTCCGGGATATTTTGATAATACTGAGCTCCCTCTTATTTGTTATATTTACAAGAAATCTATCTGGAAATTTGTGTTTAATTATAGCCAATTGTGTAAAGATGTTAATATCAGTGAAAATACACCTACTTCATGTAATTGCAGTAATTCCGAATACATTTATGGACCCATTAATTTCCCATGTTATAACAGGAGATCTTAACATCGTTCAAGACCGAGAGTTAAAATCATTCCTCAGTAAAGGACCTAAATATCGTCCCCCGTCAATTATTAATTGGAATGAGTGTCGTAATATCATCCACGACTCACTCCATACTTACTGTTTGAAATGGATAAAACGGGAAAAAGCTGACAAAAAATCTTTGGACTCTTTTTTTAAATCAGTAATGAACATAGTTGATATACGTATTCAACATTTTAAAGAACATTTTACTCTTAACAATAACCACAATAAACCTATTTCTCGTATCAAACATAAACTAAAAGAACTAGCCAAGGAATTTGTTTTTGTCCCGGCCGATAAAGCTGCTAATAATATTATTATTGTTTGACGTAAATTTTACATTGAGGTTCTGAAAAAAGAAATCACCAATTCACCAACATTCCAACTGACTCCATTTTCAGAAAACGACATCTGTAACAAACATAAACTTTTAGCTACCGCTTTACAAGCAGAACCAAATACAATGAAAGTCCCAACTATGTATTGGCTTCCGAAGCTACACAAAACACCTTACAAATATAGATTCATTTCGTCTTCAAGCCATTGTTCCACTACTAAATTGTCTATTCTTCTTACCAGTACACTTGGTACAATCAAAAACCTGATAATAAATTGTTCAAATAAGGCCTTCGAAAATAGTGGAATTAATTACTTTTGGAGTGTCAAGAACTCGTTGGAAGTACTTGATAAATTGCATGCATATATTGGTGATTTTGAATCTGTTCAAAGTTTTGATTTTTCTACCCTATATACCACATTGCCTCACATTCTCATTAAGAAAAAATTCACACACCTAATTAAATGGGCATTTAAAAAGTCAGAATGTGAATATATATGTTCAAACTCTTTTAGGTCATTTTTTAGTAGCAATAAACAAAAAAAACTATGTCAATTGGACATGCTTTGATACTATATATGCCCTTGAATTTTTACTAGATAACATTTTTGTTCGCTTTGGAGATTCCGTATATCGTCAGGTTATCGGAATTCCAATGGGGACTAACTGTGCACCACTTATTGCGGACCTTTTTTTGTATTGCTATGAGTTACAATTTATGACAAAAATCAGTAAAGACCCATCGAAACAACATCTGATACACAAATTTAATAATACTTTTAGATATTTGGATGATATTTTGGCTCTCAATAATGACGACTTCAGTATGTATACTAAAGAAATTTATCCTGTTGAACTTACTTTAAATAAAGCTAATACTAACAATGACCACTGCCCTTTCCTCGATCTTGATATCTATATCATTAACGGAAAGCTTAATACTAAAATATATGATAAAAGAGATGATTTTGCATTTCCTATCGTTAATTATCCATTTTTAGATGGTGACGTTCCCTTGTCACCATCTTACGGTGTTTATATATCTCAACTTGTACGATTCGCTCGTGTATGTAACAATGTTTTAGATTTTAACAAGAGAAATTTATGTATTACTGAAAAATTATTACACCAGGGTTTTCGATATCACAAACTAGTCAAAACATTTACTAAATTTTATCATCGGTATAAGGACATCATTCGTAAATATAGCTCAACATGCAGACTTCTTATACGTTCAGGTATTTCACATCCAATTTTTTATGGAAATATTCTTTATAAAGCACAAAAATGTCAGTATTCACCTCTGAAACTAACAACACCTTTAAATAGACTTATTAAGAAGGGATATAGTTACGATACTGTTGTCAGGTCATTAAAGATTGCATATTTTGGCGTTAATATTGATTCACTTATAGGGTCTTTGCATCGGCACTAAACACATTTATTTAAAAACCAGTTGTTGGCATGACACGGGTTATGTTCTTCTCATATATGTTATGATGGTATGATACTAAACCCCTAACGGGAAGGATTGTGCCTGATATTCATATGATGAAGACATAATCTTTCAATCAGTTTAATTGAAGTCTGAAGCTGGCATGTCAGTTAACTGCTAGTAGTCTGTTGTTATTTATGTATTATTGTCATTTTGTTTATTTTCTTTGGTTACATCTTCTGACATCAGACTCGGACTTCTCTTGAACTGAATTTTAATGTGCGTATTGTTATGCGTTTACTTTTCTACATTGGCTAGAGGTGTAGGGGGAGGGTTGAATCTCATAAACATGTTTAACCCCGCCGCCTTTTTGTGCCTGTCCCAAGTCAGGAGCCTCTAGCCTTTGTTAGTCTTGTATTATTTTTAATTTTAGTTTCTTATGTACAATTTGGAGTTTAGTATGGCGTTCATTATCACTGAACTAGTATATATATTTGTTTAGGGGCCAGCTGAAGGACGCCTCCGGGTGCGGGAATTTCTCGCTGCATTGAAGACCTGTTGGTGGCCTTCTGCTGTTGTCTGTTCTGTGGTCGGGTTGTTGTCTCTTTGACACATTCCCCATTTCCATTCTCAATTTTATTTTGCACCTCCTATTTCATTTCCTCATCTGAAGAGAGTTTTAACTTTGGGATGACATGGACACATATCTGCACACTTAACATGTCGTACACATTTGGCATGTTTGGTGTACCCATTTTGTATACACAGCTCAGGATCCTCCTTTATAACTTTTTACCATCCATTAAAACTTTCTCACAATCTTATAACCATATAATGCTTTTGTGCACCTATTTTGCTTTTTGATCTGAATTTTTTTTGGGTTTCCCTTTCCAAAGCATAGACTTTTTGTGAGCTTTGCTCCAGACATGTACAGTACCTCTAGTTACATTGTACAATGTATGTTGATTAATTAATAGGTATATGTAGATGAAATCTCATTTTCATGATACATTTATCATATTTCAAGTACATGAACATCATGTACATATATTGCTGATGTGTCAGTTACATGTACTATACATTTTCTGTATATGCTGCATCTTATTATATCCAGTCAGTGACTCTCCTTTTAATTATATGTATTTTATCTTCCAGGTGTAGACAGTTGATATTAAATATCAAAAATTCTTTAGCTAAACAGAAGAAGGACAAATGTAAAGAAACCTTGGATAATTGGAAGTAAGACAATATTCAATCTCCTTCTGTTATCATCATGATCATGGTTATAATACAATTTGATTGTTATTTGTATCAGAGATATTAAATTTTAGATTTTGAACATGAGTGCTCTAGCAACGTACCATGTTAAAATCTCAAATTGGACTATGATAATGGAAATATGTTTTCCTGTTTTTCTTGAGCACACAACTTGTTGGAGTCTACTGCAGCATTTAGGCACAATCTGATTTTATAGTTGTTTGAAACATCAATAACTTTGTCAAACTTTCATAACTGTATGAAACTTTGAGGAAGCTTTTTTTTAATGATCAAAAGACAGCAGTATAAAAATATACATGATATAGAGTGCAAAATTTTGAAAAGTATTTTTTGAAAAAACATTCAAGTTTCAATCCTTGAAATCAAAATGTTTCCTCTGTGTAAATAATTGTGCCTTTCCTGAAGCATCAGTTGGCAGAGTGAAGCTTTTTACATCTTTACCTTGGTATTTATTTTAATGTGCCAAAGAACCATTTTTACCTGACAAAAATATAGCTGTATACTAATTCAAGCCAACCTAGTCAACAGCTGTTAGAAATAGCCTATGGGTGAGAAATTGTGTAACAACACATGGATCTGATTAGTTGTATTTTTTTATATATTGTTTTTATGCCCCACCTAGGGGCATTGTGTTTTTCGATCTGTCCATTCGTCCGTCTGTCCAGCTTCAGGTTAAAGTTTTTGGTCAAGGTAGTTTTTGATGAAGTTGAAGTCCAATCAACTTGAAACTTAGTACACATGTTCCCTTATGATATGATCTTTCTAATTTTAATGCCAAATTAGAGTTTTGACCCCAATTTCACGTTCCACTGAACATAGAAAATGATAATGCGAGTGGGGCATCCGTGTACTATGGACACATAGTTGGGCATCCATGTCACACATTCTTGTTTTTTTTATCTCGAAGGTAATCCTTTGAACATGGTCCACCAATTCCATATTGTAATAAACCCAAATAAAACAATAGCATACCAATTAAACTGTTAAATTATAAAAGATATGTTTTCTTAAAAGGGATGGGTCTTTTTTTGCAATAGAACTTAGAACACTTGAATTTCATGTAGAATTTCATTTTTATTTTATTTGATCAAACATACAAAAAATGTCCACAAGTTTTGAGCAGTCTTTTTTACATTGTTTCTTCATACAAATACTTGATACTTGAATGTTAAATAACTAATAAATCTATCAACTGCTTCATTAATTGGCATTTCTTTGCTGACACACAAACATTTCTGTATGTAAACAATAGGGTTCTGTCAACAGACAAGGTTTCTCCAGTAAACTTAAATTCTGATAGATTTCATATGATTTCAACAAATAAAGTTATTTTACCACAACAAAATATTTTTCTCAAACATGAGAAACAATTTCAGAAATACATATGTATGTCTGGTAATACCTTAGGTATACTGGTAAAATCAGATTGTATGCCAACCAATTAATCCTTATCACCTGGAACTTCTTTAATTGCAGGGTATTTAATTATGAATAACTGTATACCAAATAATTTACAGAACTTTTCAGTTTTGTTAGTTCAAAAATAAAGCAAATATATTGTCCCTTATATCAAACTTGGATCTCCCCTTAAACATGTTAATTGAAAAAACAAAACAAAAATAAGTTGATTGATACTAATGATGTTATTTTCGCAACATTTACTCATGTCACTTTTACATTGTTTTATGACAAGAAAATTGCATATTTTTGAGCAAAAGTAATATAATCCAGCTTTTCAATTTTTGATTTTAAGAAAAGATTTGGAAGAACTCGAGAAGCAGCTAATTATACCAAAAGTGACCATAGCAGTAGTAGGAGCTACTGGCGCAGGCAAATCTAGTCTGATCAATGCTGTGGTAGATCAGTTTAGTGTTTTACCGACATCAGGAACACAAGCATGTACATCTGTGGTGGTAAAGATAGAAAACAATGAAGATGGTGAACAGTATGAAGCAGACATAGAATTTTTATCCAGGGAGGTATGTAGTTATAGAGCATTTCTGACAGTTTGTACATGGAATTGTAAAAGGTTTCTTTGACATTTGTGTAACAGAGGTCTATGTACTGTGGATTCATTTATTTTTGTGGGTACCAATTTTCCTGGATTGAGGAAAAGGCGTGTATTTGGCAAAGTCGGCATACATTCCTTTAGAAAATTCGTAATTCGTTGAACATTCTTATTCGTGGTTCCCCTGTACCCACGAAATCCACAAAAATTAGTATCCAACGAATATTAATGAATCCATAGTATATAAATCAAAGTACTGAAGTACTGAACATCGGATGACCGCAAGTTCTGTGGATGGTCACAAGCACTTGTCTCAGAAAAAAAACACATCTCTATACCTGAAAGTATGGTTACTGTACAGAGATATATTTTTTTCTGAGACAAGTTCGTGCGTGGATGATGAATAAATGACAGGGAATTCAACCTCACTGTAATAACTATTATATTGTAGTGATACAAATTAGTATACTCTGGTTTGTTGTTATAGTTTAAGTTAATATTTGTGTATAACAATTACATGTATATATAATTTTCATCCATTTGTATATCATTCTATTCTACTATTCTAATAATAGTGCAGTGCAAGTGCATGGTGGAAACTCTTCTGTAATAATTCGATTTTTCTAATAGATTGGATTTGAGTAGGCATTCATATTATCCAGCAAAACGTTCTTAACATATTCTTCTGCATGCGTTAATACAATTTTTCTATACATGTGCATAGATATTAATAATTTTTTACTTCTATATATATTTGTAACAACAAAACATTTTCATATTATTTTATGTTCTAAAAAAAAATATTTTTATGAGTATTCATTGAAGAAATGAATTTATAACAAGCAATAAGGAATGTTATCTTGCATTCGATAATGTCCGCGTATTTATACAATCTGTTATCAGTCAAAAACGAAAGTCAAATCTCTGTGGCAACAATACATCGGAATGCCCTCACGGTCATCGCGATGTAAAAAACATAACTTATTGATAGATGCACATGATTGCCATCGCTTCTACCTATGTTTATACCTTTTTTGGAAAATGACGCTATCAGCGGCATGTTTCCGATACCATTGACCAGAACTTACAGAAGCCGATTATTGCCTCCTCCTATCGCACTCGGTTTCATATTTACTATTTTACATACTAACTGGAATCTGCTTGTATTACGCTACACTCGAACAAAGTGTTGTAGTCGGACGGGAACCAGTTTACATACTTTATTTTATTTACCAAAAAGATATCTTGACCTGTCCATATGTTTTTTGTTATTAAATGGTATTTGGAGCTATCCCTTTGTTATATTTTTCATATTTATTCGAGCTTTCACTTTTATGCACATGTCTTACAATCGTAAACAATCGGTATGTATACATGATAAATAGATACGTTTTGTTATGGTGTTGGACTTTTTACCCTCCAATGATCAGCAATCGCTAGACAAAATAGTTTCAACAAAAGTGAAAATGTGAATCATTTTGATATCCATTGGATAGAAACTGGTCTTTATCCAGATTAACGAAGATTTTAAAAATCGGAAATTAGTAATACGGTTATACCCACGCGGTGCATATGAATCTTTGTTTACAAAACAGGATTTCGGAATGTCTCTAGTTTTTAGATCGTAAGTCACAATAAACTCAAACTGAAAGTAAACTGTTGTTTGTAAGACGCAGGTTTACTCACCATAAACAGAGACATATGATATGTATTATATGTCTCTGCCATAAACAAGCTGAAACGTTCAGTATGGCATATATTTTAGGTTAAAGACGGTCCCATTCATTTAAAAAGCATTTTGAAAGTAGACGATGGGATTATTTCAGGTTTGTGGATCGAGTAAATTATCACAAAGTTCATTTCTTGACGACCTAATATTTCATCATGTCGATGGTACAAATCGATTTTTACTGTTTACTTGAGCTTCTCATGTTTTGTATTTAAACGGTCGTTTATTTTTAAACCTGAACCAGGCATATGCATTCTGTAATTGTGCAAATCTTCGTTCTTTGGTCAATTGGCTTATGGATAGTTGTATCAATTTCAACTCTTACATTAATTTTTTTTAAAATATATTTGCATTACACATGCAATGGCAGTACCTTTCCAATTACAATTTATGTGTTGTGTCTAAATTAAAGTTGTAACACTTTATAGTGACTGGAAAGGGTAGAAACATTCATCTGATTAGAAAAGGCTGAAGATACTTCAAACGGCACCGAATCATAAGATATTGCATCTTATAAAAAGAAACTGAGATTTGGATAGTTCCACTTCAAGGTAAAAATGTTTATCTCTTGTGAAATGAAATAAAAAAAATATTGTAACACTGTAGTTAATTAATAAAGATACTATTACGTGTATTTCTGTATTGGCCTTATTATTGGTTCTCGGTCAGCAGTCAAACGGCACCGAATCATTAGATATTGCATCTTATAAAAGGAAACTGAGATTTGGATAGTTCCTCTTCAAGGTAAAAATGTTTATCTCTTGTGAAATGAAATAAAAAAAATATTGCAACACTGTAGTTAATAAATTCTCCCAAACGAAGTTTGGGAAGACTTATTGTTTTTGCTCAGTTCTTATTATTATTATTATTCTTCTTCCTCTTCCTCTTCCTCTTCCGCCGCTTTTAAATTTGAACTTGTCCGCACCCGTTCTCCAAAACCACTTGTCAGATTAACTTAGGGTTTGACAATATGTTAGACTAACATGTCTAGTGGTGCAATCAGGATTTTGTTTGTGCAATGGGGTTTATAAAGGGGTACTTTGAGGGGCAAAAAGAAAAGAGGGTTTTACTATAGAACCCTATGGGATTTTATTTTTTTAAATTTTCAAATGATTATAACTTGAAAACCGTTTGTGATAGACACAATCTTTTTAATTGAAAATGTTCTAAATGATAAAACCCATTAAATGAAATACAGGGTTAGTCCCCAGGGGTCACCCCCACCCCCTGCCATTTAAGAAAGTTCTAATACCTTGTAAGTGGTCAAGATCCCCACCCCTAAACCATATATATTCTGGTTTGTCATGCTAAGATGGTTTGAATGATATACAGGGTTAGTCCCCAGGGGTCATCCCGACCCCCTGCCATTTGAGAAAGTTCTAATATCTTGTAAATGGTCGATATCCCCACCCCTAAACCATATATATTCTGGTTTGTCATGCTAAGATGGTTTGAATGATATACAGGGTTAGTCCCCAGGGGTCACCCCAACCCCCTGCCATTTGAGAAAGTTCTAATATCTTGTAAATGGTCGAGATCCCCACCCCTAAACCATATATATTCTGGTTTGTCATGATAAAGCACATGAAATGAAATACAGGGTTAGTCCCCAGGGGTCACCCCCACCCCATGCCATTTAAGAAAGTTCTAATATCTTGTAAATGGTCGAGATCCCCACCCCTAAACCATATATATTCTGGTTTGTCATGCTAAGATGGTTTGAATGATATACAGGGTTAGTCCCTAGGGATCATCCTGACCCCCTGCCATTTGAGAAAAGTTCTAATATCTTGTAAATGATCGAGATCCCCACCCCTAAACCATATATACTCTGGTTTGTCATGCTAAGATGGTTTGAATGATATACAGGGTTAGTCCCCAGGGGTCATCCCGACCCCCTGTCATTTGAGAAAGTTCTAATATCTTGTAAATGGTCGAGATCCCCACCCCTAAACCATATATATTCTGGTTTGTCATGATAAAGCACATGAAATGAAATACAGGGTTAGTCCCCAGGGGTCACCCCAACCCCATGCCATTTAAGAAAGTTCTAATATCTTGTAAGTGGTCAAGATCCCCACCCCTAAACCATATATATTCTGGTTTGTCATGCAAAGATGGTTTGAATGATATACAGGGTTAGTCCCTAGGGGTCACCCCCACCCCCTGCTATTTAAGAAAGTTCTAATATCTTGTAAATGGTCGAGATCCCCACCCCTAAACCATATATATTCTGGTTTGTCATGATAAAGCACATCAAATAAAATACAGGGTTAGTCCCCAGGGGTCACCCCCAACCCCTACCATTAAAGAAAGTTCTAATATCTTGTAAGTGGTCAAGATCCCCACCCCTAAACCATGTATATTCTGGTTTGTCATGTGAAGATGGTTCGAATGATATACAGGGTTAGTCCCTAGGGGTCACCCCCACCCCCTGCTATTTAAGAAAGTTCTAATATCTTGTTAATGGTCAAGATCCCCACCCCTAAACCATATATATTCTGGTTTGTCATACCAAGATGGTTTGAATGATATAAAGGGTTAGTCCCCTGGGGTCATCCCGACCCCTGGTCATTTGAGAAAGTTCTAATATCTTGTAAATGGTCGTGATCCCCACCCCTAAACCATATATATTCCTGTTCGTCATGTCTCGAACATTTGAATGACGTTTAGGGTCAGTCCCCAGGGGTTCCCCCCACCCCCAATGTTCTAGTATCTTGTAATTGGTCGAGATCCCCACCCCTAAACCATATATATTCTGGTTTGTCATGCCAAGATGATTTGAATGATATACAGGGTTAGTCCCCAGGCATCACTAATGCATATAACTTTACTGCACCAAACCAATTTTCACTGGACTTTGTCCAATGTCAGGCGACCCTGGGAATTACGAATTATGGGAGCTTCGTTTGGGAGACTTCGTAACAGCATCCTGTTACAATCATTTCTTGTTAATAAAGATACTATTACGTGTATTGGCCTTATTATTGGTCCTCAGCCAGCAGTATTGGCCTTCCGCTTCGCCTCAGACCAATACACCCAAGACATGGACCAATAACAAGGCCAATACAGAAATACTTACGCAATGATATTATAGAATGACAGTATGGTTCAATAGCGGGAATCAGCCCCTCAACTACTTTTTACATGAATATTAACTTCTGGCTTCAACTCTTTGTTCGTCTTGTCTGGAGATCTTGCTGTAGTTCCAGTTCAGCAAGCATTTTAGAGACGTATCCTGTCCATCCTCTTTTGACTTGTAATCTCTGGTGATAGATTTTGCCGCTTGACATAGTATCCCTTCAAGCTTGTTTTTTTTTTGTTACCGTGTAGGGGTCCCATACTATGGCTCCATGTTAAATTATAAGATCCATTCCTAAAGATCTAGATCATTGTTCTAATCTGACACAAATTTCAATAACTGGAATGCTTCCCAAGTTGAATATATGGTGACCCACGAGAACAGCATTATCACTATTGAAATTGTGTTTAATACCATGATTGTTCAATGTCATTAACTTAAATGGAGACAGACATTTGACCTGAAAGACATGAAAGGTGGTGTGGGAGTGCAAAATCAAAAACTAACTGACTATGATATATGGTTAAAGAATGAATATCAATTACATGGGTCAACATGGTCAAGGGCAGAGTTGTTATAAAATAACAATATGGCAGAGAAGTGGTTTCAAGTTTCATATAAAGCGACCTGACTGACATGAAATAAAAAATCGAAGGAGTATCCCTATTTGTCTAATCTTCAAGGTGAAATAAAACTAGTAAAACAATATTAGACTATTGTCTAAATATACAGAAATATAATTTGCTTCAAGTAACAGAAATAACTAGGTCACTAGTAACTTATTTAATGAGTATGCGGGGTATAAGAGCTTGCTAACAACAGGCTCTTCATAATCATTTGGTTTGAAAAGGATACTAGTAGTCTATATTCTTGATTTAGAAAAATGTAATTGCAAGAAAAAAATCACATTACTTAGAATACTTTAGATCATTCAGGTAGTCTTTATTTATATGTACAAAAGAACAGCCAGTAGTCATTGGATATTGTAGATCATTCAAATAATCTTTACCTTTTTATTAGTACAAAAGAACAGCCAGTAGTCATTGGATATTGTAGATCATTCCGGTAGTCTTGACCTATTTATATATACAAAAAAACAGCCAGTAGTAATTGGATACTGTAGATCATTCAGGTAGTCTTAACCTATTCATGTGTACTGAAAAAACAGACACATATACGAATATCAATTATATGCTTACGAGACATGTTGCAATGTTAAACTTATTACGGTATGTGAAAATCAAGACTTGCATAAAAAATATCACAATATTAGAGACAGTGGCGTCATTTTTCCTCAGAGCTTTCAGCTCTTTGATTGAATGTGTACTATTTCCTATTGGAAAAAACATCCTAGTGTAAAAAATCTCTGACATGTTTTCTGACTTTTGTCTATAGGGTTTCTTTTCCTACTGAATAAAAACATTAGTGGCTAAAGGAATACACGAGTGCTTTTCATCACTATTAATTTACTATGCTGAATTCATGAAATAGGAATAAATTTGTGTTATAAGTTAGTTTACCTTAATCATACCAGAACCCAACAATGTCTATTGGTCAGTGAAACAGTCTTCAACAATAGATAGGTGACTATAGGATATGCAAAGATCTGCAATGCTAACTTGTGTATTTTATGTTATCATAATAGTATTTTAAAAGAAGTAGGCCAGGTAAGACCCCTTTTTGGCCCCATAATATAGCATTTCAAAAATTTGTTGAAAATGTAAACTTTTAGCTATTTATTTGAAAGAAGAATACCTTTGTAACATAAATATGGGCTGTTTTTGATATTACACTTCACATGCTTCAGGTACTAGCATCAGTAATTCATGCAAAATTACTAAAATCTTTATAATCTAAGCATTTGTGCTAATTTTAGATGGTTTTTGTCTAAAATGGAAGTGACCGCACATGTGTTCAGTCTTAATATTTAAATATATGTTGTATTTGATGATAATACATAACATATATAAAGGTTGAGACTGAACACGAATGCGGCCAAAAACCATCTGAAAAGAAACGTTTTGTGGCATATTTGATAGAATTTCATATTTAAACTTGAATTTAGGCGTCTTTAATTACAAAATCAGTTCAAATCTATTACATAAACTTATTGAATTGACTGAAGAAGACACTTAAGTGTTTGAAAAATGTCAAAAATCTGTCATCAGATATACTTCAAATTTTAGGCCAAAATAAGCCCTTTCCTTTATTGTAAAAGTTATTTTCAGTATTTTATCTACATGTATTAGGAAAATTTTCATCTTATGATAGAGAAGAACCAAGTATTATTCTGTTTTATATCAATGGCAATATTTGCAGGAATGGCAGAAAGAACATGATGTTCTAATCAAAGATATGACCAAGAATGATGGAACAATGAAGAATAATAGACCAGATGAACAATCTGAAGCTGGAGTGGCATTCCTAAAAATGAGAGCTGTTTATGGACAGTTCTCATCTCTCGATGACTTGAACGGAGACAACAACATCACTGCTCACCTTGGAACAATGAAAAGTTTTAAAACAAATACGGTAAACAAAATATTTAAGAAATAATTCATGCGGGCTTGAATTTATACTGATTTTACCACGAGCAATAGCGAGGGCAAAAATATCGGCATAAAGGGCAAACCGTGGTAAAATCAGTATAAATTCAAGCCCCCATGAATTATTTCTATTCTAATAGGACAAATACATCAATTCTCTTGGGTCGAAGTGCTCTAGGTAAAGGCAAATATTTGCCATTCCCATAAATAAACACACTATTAAATTGACGTAAAAGAACGGAGCAAACTGAATAAGTGACATGCTGAAATTATTTACAATAATGTATTTAGATAGGTTTGGATGAATTTAAATGATAATTTTAGTTATATATCTTATATGTATAAAAAATATGGCTTATAACACATTTTAGCATCGTTTGTTTACGTTTCCTTGTTGTGATGATTTTCGGTTTCACAAGCGTGTATTTTCCCGTAAAATGCTTATATTCTTATGTCATCTTTCTATGACGTCGGGTAGCTCATTCATAAAAAAGCATATGTCATGGAGGTACGATCGCAACAGCCCAAACAATATATTCATATTTCATGTATTTTACCACGAGTATTTACTCAAAGCCTTTGAGGAACATAAGGGACTATAATACTTATTGAAGTGTGTATAAACATGAAAGTAATAAAAACTAGAATTGCTGTTGCAAGCAATAGCGGATGTCACCCACCCCCATTGCCACTAAGCAGCAGCCATTTCAAAAATTTTAAGCAAAAAATACATGTAATATTTGAGAAAATGCTTCATTTTTATACGACCGCAAAAAATTTTGCGGTCGTATATTGGTATCATGTCGTCGTCGGCGACAGCGTCGTCTGAAGACATTTTGTTTCCGGACAATAACTGTAGTATAAGAAAATAGAAATCTATGAAATTTAAATACAAGGTTTGAAACCACAAAAGGAAGGTTGGGATTGATTTTGGGGGTTATGGTATTAACAGTTTAGGAATTAGGGGCCAAAAAGGGGCAAAAAACAAGCATTTTTGTAGTTTCTGGACAATAACTTGTGTTTTAGTGTATAGATCTCTCTGAAATTGTATCACAAGGTTCTATATCATAAAGGGAAAGCTGGGATTGAGTTTGGGGTAATTGCCCCAAACGTTTAGAAATTAGGGGCCAAAAACAAGCATTTTTCTAGTTTCCAGACAATAACTTGTGTTTAAGTGTATGGATCTCTCTGAAATTGTACTGCAAGGTACCATAGTATTGTGCAATAGCACAGTATTGCCCAATAGCAAGAAATCTTCAATTGCACAGTATTGTGCAATAGCAAGAAATCTTCAATTGCATAGTATTGTGAAATAGCACAGTATTGCCCAATAGCAAGAAATCTTCAATTGCACAGTATTGCACAATAGCAAGAAATCTTCAATTGCACAGTATTGCGCAATAGCAAGAAATCTTCAATTGCACAGTATTGCGCAATAGCAGAAATCTTCAATTGCACAGTATTGCACAATAGCAAGAAATCTTCAATTGCACAGTATTGCACAATAGCAAGAAATCTTCAATTGCACAGTATTGCGCAATAGCAAGAAATATCCAATTGCAGAGTATTGCGCAATAGCAAGAAATCTATAATTGCACAGTATTGTGCAATAGCAAGAAATATCCAATTGCACAATAGCACAATATTGCGCAGTAGCACAATATTGCACAATATCACAGTATTGGGCAATAGCAAGAAATCTTCAATTGAAGTTTAATACAAATTATTTAACCCATTTCAAATTTTTAGATCTTTCACCACATTTATTTTGTATCAGAAACCTATATGGTGTCAAAAATTTTATCACAATCCAAATTCAGACAGTATCAAGCTTGAATATTGTGTCCAAACTTGCACCAACTGTTCAGGGTTCAACCTCTGCGATCGTATCAGGCTGCGCTCGTCGAAGCATTTTATTAAAATAAAATTTAAATGAATGTAAACTTTAGTCTTATGGTCTTAAATAATGACTAAAACTTAAAACGGCTATTAAAGCTGGACATCCTCTAGAATCTTATTAATGTTTTACATTTGTCATTGCGGGGCCTTTTATAGCTGACTATGCGGTATGGACTTTGCTCATTGTTGAAGGCCGTACGGTGACCTATAGTTGTTAATTTCTGTGTCATTTGGTCTCTTGTGGAGAGTTGTCTCATTGGCAATCATACCACATCTTCTTTTTTATATATAGGAAGTTTTTTTGTTGTTTGATTTCTGCCGTAACATATGGTGTGTTTTCTATATGTTTTGTCACATTATAATTACCATTGAACATGTTGAATAATCTGTTTTAAAGTATCTTTTATACTCGCATATCAATACACCCTCATTATTTCAGTTACAAGAATTCAGTTATAATATAGAAAAGTATATAATAAGTACTGAGGAAGAAGGACAACACTTATGGCCGATCATAAAGTCTGTGACGATAAGAATTCCAAACTTTTTTACTGGTTGTACATTAGTAGACTTGCCGGGAGTAGGTGATGCTAATGCTGCTAGAGATAGGATAGCACAGGAAGTAAGTTAAACATTGATTAAATAGTCACAACAGATTTAAACATACCAATATTGGGTCTATGCTAACAGGTTGGTAATTATAAGTAATGAAATTAAAGATGTATAAAGGAGGAGGTTCACAAAGGGCTAGATTAGGCCCTAAGACTTATGTCTTTTTAAATCATGCCAAAATATTCAAATTTCAATTAGAAAAAGTTTTGATATTACTTTAATTTATTACATAACTTCTTTTTGGCACCTCTAATTGTGCATTATTTTTGTAGTAAAGTTAGTTAATGTCCATTTTTTTCCATAATTTATTACGAAGTTGTTAGCATAATTCACATTGACCTTCATCCCTGATCCCAAAGCATTTTGTTTCAATAGTATGACTTGAGATAAAAAAAAAATTAAACAAGTAGAAAAATATGGCCCTTTTTCATGATTTGGTTCGTCCTTATTATATGATCATTATCTTTAAAATAGCCCTTAAACATTGTTAAACAAGAAAAACAAGAAAATTTGTATATTTTCTTTTATTGGTTACTATTTGCAATATAAATGTAATTCCTATATCACATCACATTTTATGACTAAGAAAATACTATATTGCTAGCATTTAGAAAACTGTTCAAACATTCTGGTTGTGGCAGAGGTGCACCGGGCCTTTAGTAGTAAAATAGCCAAAGAGTTAATGGGAGAGAGTTTCCGTCGACAATTATTTATGGATGGGAACTATTCCTGTGATAATTATATAGCATTTGTATGTACAAAGAACGACCACTTGAACTGTACAGAATTAACAAGGTATATTATCTTTTACACTTCTTATTTAAATCTATGATTTTCTGTTGTCTATTGTGATATTGCTATATTGCATTTACCTTGCCGATCCATCCATCATTTCATCTGTTTGTCAAACAAATATTGCTGTCACTCTTTTCCAAGGTATTGCTGAACAAAATGACTTCATATTAGTTCAGCAGATTGAGCTTGATAAGTTGTATCACTAGCCTGTCAACACTGAGATTGTGTGTTGGAACCCTGCATGAGGCAAGTGCGTTTGACTTCAATCTTAATTGGCTAGGATTGTCTGTTTTCGTGCAGAAGGTTGGTGGTTCTCTCAGAGCACTCTAGCTATTTCCACCAATACAAAATGACCGCCAATATATAGTACTGAAAGTGGTGTTACAACATCATCAATCAACAATATTTGGTGTATGGATGATTGTAAGATATACATGACTGTCTGGCGATTATCATCTGACCTTGACCTCATTTTCATGTTCATTGGTCAATTTTAAGTTTCCTTAGTTTGGTCCATTTCTCGAATACCATATGCAACAGGTCAACTATATTTGGTGTTTGGAATGATTTCAGGTAAGGTGTGCATATCTGTCTGGTAGGGTTCATCTGACCTTGACCTTATTTTCATGGTTCATTGGTCAATGTTAAGTTTTTTTTAAAGCTTTTTTTTGCTCTGTGTTGAAGGCCTCACTGTGACTTTGAGATGAAGAACAGCAATACAAGCGCTGTTCCTTTGCTTTTTGTGTTTTTATTTTTGCTGTGCATGTACTGATTTTGTGTCATGAATGGATACCCCATATCCTTTGTTTTTCTATCACTATAAAAGATCTACAAATAAGCAAACATAACCATAGATAACTTATCGCAACAAAGAAAAAAATAAATATCAAAATGACATATTGTTTAATATTTTTCCAGATTTATTTTTGATGTTATACAGTACTACAGATGATATTGAAATGTGATAATTGTTAGTTAGATCGAAAATTATTTGTATAAAACCATTATTGTCATTTATTGTCATTTTAGGGAATTGAAACTGGATAAAAATGCAGAAATGATGTCGCTGAAGAATGAATCAGAAAAATTAAAGAAAGCTCTAAATGCCACAGTAAGTTTGCGAGATAATTTTTCTTTGCTTAAGTTATGGCCATAAAGCCTTATGAATTTTAGAGTACCATTTGAGCATCACTTTTCTTATATCATTCTTCCAAAAGTTCTCACAATAAGTATATAGGATGATTGGCCATGATGTGTAGTTCATAATAGTTTTGATTTAATTCTGGAGTTTGAGCTTTATCACATTTTTATATATAATTTATTAAAAAAATATGTATACTAATTATTAACATTTGTATAAAATTCCTTTTGTTAGGGTTTTATAACATTTTACATTCCAATTATCTTAAAATATATGTATGGACACTCATATAAATATGGCTGACAAAAAGAGGTGATCTGCAAGTGCATCCTTACATCTTGTACTGTGTGACACACTTAAAGATAAAACTGAAGATATTTTATATAGCCTAGTATAGGGTGCAGGTTTAGAAGAATTTTATCCCATGATGAGGATACAGTCCCTTGATTGCAGAAACTACTTTTTCTGCATTAATCAATTAACAATTTATGCATTAACTAACCAAGTAGTGCAAGACATTTGAATGCTGTTTTTGGGTAAAGAGTGTATGAAATGCAATCAAAACCCTATGGTACTGACTTGATATCTAAATCTTCCAAGGTTTCTCACTTCTTTTGAGATACACAAAATATAGTGCATTGATCATAACATTCTAAACATCCTATCCATGAACATTCCCAGAAATTTATCAATGAAATATATGCTCAGATATTCAAGTTACAAAATGATGTTATACTTTTCAAGAAAATTACATAACTTGTGCAAGGTGCAGGAATCTATTATTTGTTCTAAAAATATCAATGATGTCATTGTTAAAGTAATCTTTAAAATTGGAGTAATCTTCCTTTGTCCATAATTGTAGTTGAATCAACTACAACCAATGTTTTATACAATGCAATGTTTAATTTTACTTCCCACTGATAAATTAAAGCAAACTTTACCCTTCAGCGCTTACAAGCACTTTGATTGAGTTCAACCATTTACCTTATTATTAATCAGAAAGTTTTTTGGTTAAGTGGTATTATAACAGTAAAACCAAAGAAACGACAAAACTACAAAACGAAGAAAATAATGTGTTTTGTCTCGCCTGAGAGAGCAAGAATAGGTGTTGCTTTTCAGGTGGAGTTAGTGGTGGCTGCGTTGGATGCGTCAACAATACTTAAGTTTTCTGCTTAAGTCAGTTTGATAGGAATTACTTGTGATAGATCAATGTTATTTTCTATAAAGTTGCTTTACTATCAGTTCATATTTCGAGGCCCTGCCCCCTAGGTCATGGCCCAGTGACTAACTGAAGCAATTTTTAAAGTTAAAAAGTTTTCTGCTTAAATCAGTTAGGAACTACTTGTGATAGATGAATGATTTTTTCTATAAAGTTGCATTAATATTAGTACTTATCAGTTTGATGACTATTTCAAGCATCTGCCCCTGTAGATCATGGTCCAGTAACTTTGAATTAAGTAGAAATTTTCAGTGTTTTATGCTTAAGTTAGTTTGATAGGAACTACTTATTATTGACAATAATATTTTCTATAAAGTTGCTTTACTATCAGTACATCTCAATTTGTTGACCATTTCGAGGCCCTGTTCCTACTTCATGGTCCATCAACTTTGAATTAATTAGCAATGTTTCTGTCCATCAAAATGTCTTTTTCTGAATTTTCTGACAACAGGCTAGACATATCTCCGTGTCAACAGTTTATACTTTTTACAAATAAAAAAATTGTGCAACCAAAAAATAAAGGATCTTATTATGTTCATCATATTATTATGCTTATTTCCTTTACAGATTTAACACCATGGTGGTTTTATAACATGCTCAAATAAAGTGTAGGATATTTTGATCCCTATTGGATTGTATCAAAGACTTTCAGTCGGTATTTGATGCATGAGCTCATGGTTCATTGGTCAATATTGCTTTGGAGAAGTCATGTGTTGGTGATTTGTGTGGTCTGAGGTACATTTGTATGTCAAATTTTGGGTAAATCCTTTTTGTTTGTTCTTTGAAATTTATTGGTATACGTGCAGGCTAAAAGACATCACACTCCAGGGATGTCATTTAAAACTGGCATCTGGTGAAATCCGCTGATTATAAATGTCTCTGACGCTGGCTACTTAAAAAATTATCAAGAATAATGTTTGAGCAGATTTTTTTATGATAAGTTTGAACTTTGACGGCAACTTTAGCAGATTGAAAATTAGATCAGATTCACAACTCTGGTCACAGTGTAACCAAAAAGTTACTGTTAATTAACTAGGATCAGGAAACTGGCAACCATGCATTATTTCCAGAATTTTTCAGACTTATATCCATTCTGAAATGAAAATGGCAAGTTTCTTCGTAAATGATTACGCTGGGGGTCCCAAGCCCATTTGTCTGTAGATGCAACACAAAGCTAAGATCGAATGGGCCTAGTCCCATAACATATGACTTCACATTCTTATTTGATTTTTAACGTTTTTATGCTGATATTTTTTTTCTTTTTTTCAATGCTCAAACATTTAAAAAATTGTAAATAAAAAAAAGAAAAAAATAGTAAAAAAATAAAAAAAAACCAAAATATGAGAAATAAACAGAAATACAAAATAATGCACCCGAGGTCATATGTTATAGGAATTATGATTGGGCCCTGTTCAGGCTACAATCAATGATGGAGTTAACATAAAAAAAAAAACTAAATGTTCATATTTAAATAAAGTTTCTAAAAAAGAAAATGAGAGAGATGTCATTCAAATGGAAATAAGCACAAATTCCTATTACTTCAGGAGTATAAGATTAAGAACGTAAAGTTCAAACAATTTTTCAAAGTCCTATGGATAATTTGCTTGTAGGTTTTGATAAGTACTTATAAGACACTAAAGGGTGGCAATGGGTCATATTCATTTTTGCCAACTTATCATAATGTTTTATTCTATTGTACAAAGATGGAGATTTAAACAATCCAGGCGAATTTTTCTGGTATCCCGCAATGGTGGTAAGTCGTGCACTTAAGGCCATTTTTTATTTTATTTTTCTGTAGACTTAGTTTTGTTTTTTTATTACTGTGTATTGTCAAGCTTGGTTACTCATTATTGTTTCTCAGTCACTGAATGTACGATGTTGTTCCATACGGGAGCAGCTTACCCGGTTTGTTTACATTCAAATTCTAATGCCTTCAAAACCACGTGACACATTGAATCGTTATATCCAATCAAATTGCTCTACTGTCAATTAGGTGATTTTTTAGTGCAAGGCAATTATATTATTTGTTTGTATGATATTGCTTTGAAATAGTTTGCAATAAATTGGGGGATTATTCAATAGGAAAACTCATTACTAGCCATGAAATTTGACATCAATGGAATTTTATATGAATATTTACTTATGGTCAGAATATCGATCTCTTTATATTAAACCAAATTTTTTTTTATGAAAAATATATGTATATTGTTTTTTCTTTACCTACTCTATATTCCTGAACAAAAACATGGCATGATTATCGTTTGTTTCCCAAAGTTTTTCTTTCAATTTGGATGTTTTTTTTCGCGGGAAAATCGCGGAAGACGTAAGGTGCTTGCCATTTTGAAATTCTTAAAAATACGATTTGCTTGGCCTGTTTGGTCTGCCATTAAGATTGATGACGCTCAATGGAATGTAAACAAAGCAATGGAGGCCGGAAGAGGGGTTTTCTTAAGTTCTGAAATGCTTATAGGCATTCGGAAGTCAGGGTTGAAATGGCCATTAGAAAATCTGCATTTTTGTACAATACTTAAGAATAATAATGAAAACATATCTTTAGAAATATCATTTTATTTAGAAGTGTAGAAAAAATGTATTCTGCACTAATTTTATACGCTGGTATTAGCGTAGTGACGTCATTGCGGAGTTTTCCCGTATGATAAGTACAATAACAAAATCCGAACGAACCAACGTTATGACCGATTATAGACTACGGTAGGATATTTATAATTTAAACGGCACATCGCTTAAAATAAATCCTACAGTGAAATACTTAAGCTTGACTTTGGCCCCCTTGAAGACTTTCAGTAGTCATAAATATTGTGTAAATGTGTATTACTAGTGTTTTACAGTCCAGGAATTTTAAACTGTCTAGGTTTTCTGTTTTTTTTTTATCCCAACCTCTCCACCGAAAATATTTATTATGGGTATGGTCTTTGTTCAGTAAGAAATTAGAACTGTCAAAAGGACAAGGATAAGGTTTGTTTTCTTACCAAAGGCTTGAACTGGTATGGTTTAATGTCAGTTTATAAATGAATCTGCCCTTCTTTGATTCCCTTCTGTTATGGCCTGCAACTGCATGGTAGCGGATGGAAATAAACATTTCCTAAGGGAAGTGCTGCCCAATTTTTTTTTTCAAGGTTTGGATTTTTCAATTCATTTAGCCCTCTTGCTAAGAGTAAAGGTAAACTGTTTTCTTGCAGAATTTTTTGAGAAATAAAATGCAAATAATTAGTCTTTTATGTGTATTTGAAACATAACACAAACAGTTGTCTTAATCAGAAAATTGTTTCATTATTATTTTCTAGGGAAAAATTATGTTAAAAAGTATGGCATGTTCATAATCATGACAATTGATTAAAATGTAATATTAATATATCACAGTGTGCCAAGCTCTCACTGGATAGATAGTCTCTTGACAGCATTGATTTTGAAAACAGCCAAATACTTCATGTTAGGTTTTATTCTTTTTACTTAGAAGGTATAGATGTTACTAAAAGATTTTTACCTGAATGAAAGATTTACATAACTAGTTATAAGAATTGAGGCAGTCTGCTTTTACGAGACCAGCCAGATTTATCAATGCAAAATAAGGAGGTCAGAGTATGATTGCCAATGAGACAACTATCCAACTGAGTCCAAATGAAGCTGATGATGTCTGCTTTCATGAGACATAAACTGAAATAACTTAAGTAAAAAATTATTTATTTTTTCATAGGCCATAATAACATTAAATACATTGAATTCTAGACTCAGGAACCTACCAATCTGATAATCAAAATTTTTTAATGTTAAATATATATCATGTATTAAGGTTTGTTCATTGCAATTAATCTGCTCCTTGTGGGTGCTGTGATCAGCGAAATAAAATGTCTGTATCTGTATTGAAACAAGATTCAGTCATTGCATTTTTATATTTTAAAATAATAAATCATTAGAATTGACTTAAAAAAGGCTGTTTTTATGAGAAAAAAATAGGTGCCAGGAGAGAGCCAGAATACAGCGGCTCTTTTCACAAAAAATCTTAAGAGTAAAAATACTCTTAAGTCATACACATTTCAGTATAACTTTCGATCAATTTTATTCGTAAGATTTTTTGTGAAAAGACTTGCAGGATTTAACACCATTAAATCCCAGAGCTTCTGGGGCCTCAAGCGGCCCAGACCCCTCGCCTTATAGGCAACCTTGCTTTAGTATTATCTTCTGACATCACTCATGCATAATGTATGTCTTTTAACTTTTGAAAGGTTCCTGGAAATGAGAGATTTCAAATAGAAAAAGACTTGAGCCAAACACATCAGGCTATGAAAGTTATATGTGGAAAAGCAAGATCAGAAAAAGCACGAAAGCAGCTGAAAGAAGATTACAAGTCAGGACTAAGGGTAATGTGTGGATTAATTTGTAAATTTTAATAAGTGGAACTTTTTGAAGTCATACACCATTTTTAAATTGATTGTTGTACTTTCTGGTGTCAATATAACTTTGATATTCTAATTGAGAAATATTTTAAACAATATTGTCGTATGTTATGAAGACAAAAAATGTATTTGAATTTTCAGATTTGTTTTGTGTAAGAATGATATAGAAATGAAATAAATAAACATATATAGAACCGTACTGCTGGCTATTTTGTTTCTAAGAGGAAATATATCGTTATTCAACCAGAAATTAATGAAATACTTGTATTAGGTAGGTTAAGGTCAAGTTACAGTAAATGGGCTGTTACAGGTTTTTGGTAAAATTTTGCATACAACTTTGACTTGTTGAACTATAATTGAAAATGGAAAATATAATGCTTTTACTTCTTTTATTCTCTATAATATCCTTAAAAAAAGTGAATTTTTGTATAGAAAGCACCTGAAATCAGCAAAAAAACGTTCTTAAATTTGTCCTAAAATCATCAAATCTATATTTCAAATCCATAGATTTTCTTAATAAATTATATGTTATTGATATTTCCGTTTTAATGATGTAACATAAAAAATATTTTTTTCTTCTTTGAAAATATCAATATTCATATGAAATAAAAGGAAGGTAAATTTGAGTATTACAAATTAAAGAATCTATTTAATTCAATCAGCTAATTTTGGGCCAATTCCTATACATTGACTGCTCGGAGAAGGATACCCTCTGATATTAACAGTCAAACCACCGTTGGCATCCTCGAAGTCTAACAGACCCGTTACCAGCAGCACCATCCTAATGTCAATATATATGAGAACAATGTAATTAATTGAAAATTATTTTACCAGGACATGAAGAGGTTTGCAAAACAAGGAATCGATAAAGATGATGAAGATGATGAAGACGATGATGATGACGACAATGATGAATCTGCTGATAGTCTTAGAGTTTTCTGTGTCAGTTCAAATGACTATCAATGTTTGAAAGAAAGAAATGAGTCACCAACGGTATGTAAATTTTTACCTGTGTTCCCGAAGGCGGAAACAGGTCTAGTAACCTCTCGACTCTGTCCGTCCAAATGACGGTTTGTAACTTTGTAGCTCTATAATGTTGAGTTGTAGTTAGTAAGCAATTTTTATACTTCAGTCCAAGACAGGACATATTATGGTTAACCAATGTCCATCCATCTGTCTGTCTGTCTGTCCCTCCATCCGTCAGGCAAATCAGTTTTCCACATTTTTTTTTCTTCGTGCTTGAAGATTTTGATTTGATATTTGGTATATAGTTTTATATTGACCAGTTACAGATCCAGTATGAAATTTGTTCCAGTCTGATGATTCTGTACAGAGATATGGTCCTCAGACTTAGAAAATTCATGCAATTAATCAGTTTTCTGCACTTTTTTTCGTCATGCTTGAAGATATTGATTTGATATTTGGTATATATAGTTTTACCATGACAAGTTACAGATCAAGTTGAATTTTGTGTGATTTGGATGATATTTTATATGCCCGTTTACGGGACGTATTATGGTATACCGTTCGTCAGTCCGTCTGTCCGTCCGTCAGTCGTCAACATGTCGGATATTAACTCAAAAAAGCTTTAACCAACATGCATGAAACATTGGTGAATTGTTTATAACTATTGACGTGAGCTCCCTTTCGTTTTTTATAAATTTCAGATTTACCGTTTCCGTGTTTTGGGGTTTTATTCATTAAAAAAGGGGTGGTTTTCCAGTTTTCCAACAATAACTCAAGAATGCTTTCACCAACTTGCAAGGAATTTTGGTGAATTGTTTATATCTATTGACATAAGCTCCCTTTCGATATTTATAAATTTTAAATTTTACGTTTCCGAGTTACAGGGTTTTATTCATAAAAAAAGGGGGATTTTCCAGTTTTCGGACAATAACTAAAAAATGCTTTCAGCAGTTCTCATGAATTTTTGGTGAATTGTTTATATCTGTTGATGTAAGCTCCCTTTAGAATTTTATAAATTTCAAATATGACATTGAGAAGAAATTGAACTTTATTTGTTTATAGTCTGACAACAGATTTACTAAGTATTGCACAACAGCAAGAAGTCTTTAATTGAATATAAATTCAATTCATATAACCAATATCAAGTTCTTTGACTACATTTATTCAGAAACCTATAATATGTCAAATATTTAATTACAATCCAAACTCAGACCTGTATCAAGCTTGAATATTGTGTCCATTTTTGCCCCAACTGTTCAGGGTTGGACCTCTGCGGGCGTATCCAGCTGCGCTCAGTGAAGCAGTTGATTTGCAGAGTTATGGTCTGCTGACTTAGAAAATTCATGCAAATAAACAGTTTTCCACACTTTTTTTTGTCAAGCTTGAAGATATTGATTTGGTCTTTGTTATATAGTTTAGCCATTACAAGTTATAGATCAAGTTTGCATTTTGTTCCAGTAGAATGAATTTTCAGCTTGTAGGGGACTATGTATTGCCATGCAATAGGTCCGAGTACACAGTTATCGTCCTTTGATTTTCGTTGTCCACAAATGTAGTCCCTAGTGTGGACAGTGTGTTACTTGCCATTTTTAGCTCACCTGACCTGAAAGGTCAAGTGAGCTTTTCTCATCACTTTGCGTCCGTCGTCCGTCGTCCTGCGTCCGTCGTCCTGCGTCCGTCGTCCGTCGTCCGTCGTCCGTAAACTTTTACAAAAATCTTCTCCTCTGAAACTACTGGGCCAAATTTAACCAAACTTGGCCACAATCATCATTGGGCTATCTAGTTTTAAAAATGTGTGGCGTGACCTGGTCAACCAACCAAGATGGCCGCCACGGCTAAAAATAGAACATAGGGGTAAAATGCAGTTTTTAGCTTATAACTCAAAAACCAAAGCATTAAGAGCAAATCTGACATGGGGTAAAATTGTTCATCAGGTCAAGATCTATCTGCCCTGAAATTTTCAGATGAATCGGACAACCCGTTATTGGGTTGCTGCCCCTGAATTGGTAATTTTAAGGAAATTTTGCTGTTTTTGGTTATTATCTTGAATATTATTATAGATAGAGATAAACTGTAAACAGCAATAATGTTCAGCAAAGTAAGATTAACAAATAAGTCAACATGACTGAAATGGTCAGTTGACCCCTTTAGGAGTTATTGCCCTTTATAGTCAATTTTTAACCATTTTTCGTAAATCTTAGTTATCTTTTACAAAAATCTTCTCCTCTGAAACAACTGGGCCAAACTAAACCAAACTTGGCCACAATCATCATTGGGGTATCTAGTTTAAAAAATGTGTGGCGTGACCCGGCCAACCAACCAAGATGGCGGCCACAGCTAAAAATAAAACATAGGGGTAAAATGCAGTTTTTGGCTTATAACTCAAAAACCAAAGCATTTAGAGCAAATCTGACATGAAGTAAAATTGTTTATCAGGTCAAGATCCATCTGCCCTGAAATTTTCAGATGAATCGAACAACCTGTTGTTGGGTTGCTGCCCCTGAATTGGTAATTTTAAGGAAATTTTGCTGTTTTTGGTTATTATCTTGAATATTATTATAGATAGAGATAAACTGTAAACAGCAATAATGTTCAGCAAAGTAAGATTAACAAATAAGTCAACATGACTGAAATGGTCAGTTGACCCCTTTAGGAGTTATTGCCCTTTATAGTCAATTTTTAACAATTTTTCGTAAATCTTAGTAATCTTTTACAAAAATCTTCTCCTCTGAAACTACGTGGCCAAACTAAACCAAACTTGGCCACAATCATCATTTGGTTATCTAGTTTTAAAAATGTGTGGCGTGACCTGGTCAACCAACCAAGATGGCCGCCACGGCTAAAAATAGAACATAGGGGTAAAATTCAGTTTTTGGCTTTTAACTCAAAAACCAAAGCATTTAAAGCAAATCTGACATGAAGTAAAATTGTTTATCAGGTCAAGATCTATCTGCCCTGAAATTTTCAGATGAATCGGACAACCCGTTGTTGGGTTGCTGCCTTTGAATTGGTAATTTTAAGGTAATTTTGCTGTTTTGGGTTATTATCTTGAATATTATTATAGATAGAGATAAACTGTAAAAAACAATAAATGTCGGCAAAGTAAGATCTACAAATAAGTCAACATGACCGAAATTGTCAGTTGACCCCTTTAGGAGTTATTGCCCTTGATAGTCAATTTTTAACCATTTTTTTCGTAAATCTTAGTAATCTTTTACAAAAATCTTCTCCTCTGAAACTACTGGGCCAAGTTAATTATGGATAGAGATAATTGTAAGCAGGAAAAATGTTCAGTAAATTAAGATGTACAAACACATCACCATCACCAAAACACAATTTTGTCATGAATCCATCTGCATCCTTTATTTAATATTCACATAGACCAAGGTGAGCGACACAGGCTCTTTAGAGCCTCTAGTTTTTTATACCCCTTCCAAATTTATTTCTCCATGTTTTATGACTCAAATAGCAAGTAGGGGGGTGAAATGACACTGTAAAAAAATTTGGGTCATGAATTTTAAAGTAAAGTAGTGATTTGGTCCAGCTGAAAAATGTTAAAAATTAGCACTTCGGAAGCTGTCAAAAGATTTGAAGACCCCCTTAACATAAAATTGTCCATATTTTGAGTTAGAGCCGATGAAGTTTTCTATAATTTTGATATAATTTGTCCCAAAAGGAGTACACCACACTGTAAAAATATTATTGAGAAAGCGCAGGTGGGATTTTTTTAATTTTCATTTATTGTCTAAAAGAAATGCACTACGAAATAACTGTGTACTAGGACCTAAGAGGTGAAATCAGGAAATATAGAATCTGTACTTTGGCAACTTCCCTGAATGATTTGATGGTGTCAATTTGTCAAATAGCATAAAACTAAAGGATTTAAACTTTTATTTGATAGAATTTCTGCAAAAATGACCAATTTGGGCATATTATGGTCAAAATAAGCATTTCATAGCTTTTTCAATTTTGATGCATAAGTGGCATTCTGACTTTCTATCTGACAGGTTTTTATGTGTCAATATTTGTGTTTCTATGCTTCAATCCAGTTGTATTACTCATTTGTGAACTCTGAATCTACAGAAAAGAAGATTATCTCAGACAATATGTACAAAATGTGTTGTATATATGACCCTCGTCTAACGCCCTGTTTGGATCAAGTTAAATGTGAGGAGCTTCGAACATAAAAGTTGAAGTCCATAATAAAGACCTCACTAAATTTGTATAAAAAGCACTTAATAATGTCTTTTGTACCTGTTTCATGTCACATAATATCTTTCTTTTCTTCTGTAGGATAGCAAGTGGTTCAAATATAAGCTTGTTGCGACTAAAATTGCATGCATGTTTTTCACTAAAAAGTGAAAAGTCTTTGTATCAGACCATACTGTCAGCAAAAAAAGTTGAATGCAAGAGTCTTTTTGTGCTCAGATTTATTGTATCATGTCACCTGAGTATAGAAATGATAGAAAAGACACAAATTTTTATTTCCTATAGCTTCAATATGCATTTTTAAATGTAAATATGTGCTACGGCCTAAATTGACCCTAAATTATTTTCAGTCTTACTTGGCCTAAGACCCTTTTAAACTAATATGATATGTTATTTGTGAGTTTTCTTTCCATTTAAAGTACATTAAATATATATGTAAGGATTATTTATAACCAAAAAGCTTTACAAATTTAAAATTGCTGGAAAATATTACATCTTCATGTAAGGCCCCCCTTCATTGGAAAACCTCCATTTTTAGGCACAGGCTCATATAAATTTGACTTTTTAATAATTATGATAAGTCTGATAAATCAAATGAGTACTCAGTTGCTTTTAATACATAATATTTTATATATTAAGGCATTTCAAAAGTATTTTTTTGCAATATTTAAATTTTTTAAGCCCCAAATGTTGATAGTTGAAATTTTTCAATTTTAACGTCTACATTTAACACGCAAAGTTGAATATAGAATTAGTCATATTGTCTATAATATATATCTTATTGCCATGAAACTTTGTAGGCAGTCTTATAATTTATG